AGAAAGTATTTCAAATATTAGTGTAGTTGATTTGGTTCTATTTAGACACATTTGTTTTACTATAAGCAATAAATCTGTCTCATATGTGCCTTTTTGGTTCAATTGTTTTTTTTAAATCACAAAAAAATATAAACAACAATAATAGATATGAAACAAGACAAAGTTTATTTGGTTCTATAAAAAATAAAAAATAAAATACATTTTTTTATGCTTATTTAATGAGTATTTGCATTGTGTGTCGCAAATAAAAATATGATGGCAGGATGTCCCTGGTCAAGCAGAATATAGTAAAGCACAAGCTTGGTATATGCTTAACTTATCCCTCCAATGATTGTCACAGATTGACACTAAATTCAAACAATTTTTTTATTATAGCAAGGAGTTGCGAAAAAACCATTTTGATAGGGTTTGATCACTATTGTTGCTGGATGCCTTGATATAGTTGAAGATTGAATTATTGAGTACATAACTATATTTCATTTGCATAATAATCGATATCTCTTAATTGCAGAGTTTTGTTTGTGGTTTATATTTACAAAATTCTATGTGAGTGTTATAGCTATTTCAACTTCCAAAATAGCAAGATAATTCTTTTTTTTCCAAGTATTTCTCAAGTAAAAGGGTTGCATTTTTTATCAAAAAAAAGGCTTGCATTTTTCTTTTTTGTTACTTCATGTTTATATCTCCATCATTGTATCATTTCATGTTTATATCTCCACCACTGTATCATTTAGGACTTCATAGCAACATGAAGTTCTTGATTTCTTTTACAAATTAACCAATCTCGATCGATAAAAATTCTGATTTTTTTTCTCAACCAAACTTCTTCTCAGAAAGATAGATGGGGCGATTCAAGTGAGATCTTCGCTTTGCATTGAATTAAACCACATGCTCCACCCGTACGTTAGATGGTAATACACTAATATTAATTATATGAGGCGGTATTATGAAAATATAATTTTGTAAACCCAAAGTCGTGTCGTGACTCATATAACTTGTTATTGACTAGATGGAAAAATGTAAACAAATCCAGATAGACATGAGTTGATTTGAACATCATCTTATAATAATATAACATTTTTTAATGATCTAATAATACATTATGAGACGAACATAAATTCAAAATTGAATCTGTTATGGACCCATATAAGAGGCCCATTAAGTGATAAGCCCAACAAGGGGCAATCCAAGATATGGATTGATAGTAATAAAGGGTAGTATCTGTCAAGGATACTAATCCTAATACGACAGCGTAGCAAGCAGGCCCGGGCCCTCACCAGAGGCACCAAAGGCCTATCCACACTACCCACATGTAACCTCTATAAATACAAGGTACACCCTAAAGGTACGTACGCTCTCTCTCTTACTGTTATGTTGTCATTGTGCGCACACACACCCCATTGGCTAACGCCGTTATAGTATTCTGTGTACAGAGATCTGCTTGACTCAAGGGTTTCTCCTTCATAGACACATTGGAGAGGGCACTAGATCTAAGAGAAACATGCCAATCTATTGGGCTGGACATCTCCGTCTTAAGGACAGAACATTGGCGCCGTCTGTGGGGAAATTCTTCTTTGAATCGGAAGTTCCCACTAACCTGAGAAAAGATGGCAATCCAGACAAGGAGCAGTAGCCAGCAATTACCCCAGAACCAGAACCAACCGCTGGATCTAGTTCTGGAAGAGGTAAATCAACCTCAGAACCAGCAAGGAAACGACATGGAATATGACCATGTCCAGGTTGAGGACGAGATCTCAGACACCGCGTCGAGATAGGGGGCTGACACAATCATGGTTCCGATAAGGAACAACCCTTCCCAGCATCTTGGAGATCTTGCTGCGCGTATTGCCCAATCAGCCGACCCAGATACTCGACTGGCTAATAACGCATTTGCTGCGATTATGGAGCGAATCGCAGAATTGGAATTTCGTAATAATCTGCAACGACAGTAGGATTTTCGGACGATACGAGAGGAAAATAATAGGGGAATGTGAGACCTGGAACATCGCTTAACACAGCTGACTGAACCAGGAGTGACAGAAATTGAAGCCCAGCCTGCCAATGGCCGGGAAGGAACTCGCAACTTGATTCAACAGAACCGGGTTCCTGAGGTGGAAAATCGTGAAAGGCTCAACTCGGCCAACGCAGCGAACCCGGACCAAGGAAACCAGCGGCTGATGCCCAAAATGCTCAAAACTATCTGGCACAAGCTAATAGCCAAGAGGACCGGGATAGGACTCATCCCAACCAGAATGCTCAGATCACCCGAGGGTGTGTGGAATCTGGCGGGTACAGAAGGAAGCACAGCAGGGGGAAGTATAACAACAGCCTTTTTACTGGTGAACTACTGAATGCTCCCTTCCCGGAGGACTTCGACTCAGCACACTTGCCAAAGTATGATGAAAGTCAAGATCCACAAGTTCATATAGACGCTTTCGACACATATATGTATATCCGGGGAATTGATGAACCCCTCATATCCCGGATATTTGCAATAACCCTAATTGGGGCAGGCAGACATGGTTTTCAACTCTTCCTGTTAATTCCATCGGATCATTCAAGGAATTTGGGCAGAAATTCCTCTTAAACTTTGAGACCAGCAAAAAGCATCTGAAGTCTGAGTTCGCACTTGGAAAGATACGACAGCAACCCGGATAAACCCTCCAGAAATACCTTAACCGGTTCAAGGACGTTGCATTGCAGGTCCCTGGGTTGCAAGAGAATGTCCACGTACAACTCATTGTGGTATGTCTGGATGGTGCATCCAGGATGGCCAAGTCGGTCTATAAAGACCCAGTGAGGACGTTGGAGGAATTCAGAACTCGTTCGAAGAAATACCTTGAACTGGAGCAAATGAAGATTGCAAATGCGCAATCGGAAGAGGGCAAAAGAGCTAGCCCGAGCAGAAGAAGAAGCCCAGCCCCGAAAGGAAAATAACGAGTTGATAATAAGAAAAAAGATCCTAGGGCCAGAATCCCGGGCACAAGAGATCGAGTTGAAAGGTACGACAAATATACACCGTTGAATGCGTCGCGCTCGCAAATCTAGAGAGAAGTGGCAATGACGGAGATGAAGAAAGTAGACAGACCCCGGCCCATATTTGACAGAGGAGGTTTGGACAGGTCTAAATACTGTGCTTTCCATGATGGACCGGGTCACACAACTGATCAATGCTGGGATCTCTGAGATGCTGTGGATCAATTTGTGAGAGATGAAAGGAAACCACTAAGAGGATTCCAACCCTGACGAGTTCCTGGAAGCGGAATTCGATTGCAACGTAATCAGTGGAGCCCTTGGAGGAGGGGGTGACACCATAAGTGCAAGAAGGAAGTACTTGAAAGAGGTCATTTTAATTCGGGACCGTCCTAAATTCAAGAAAGACCCAAGCAAACTAGATCCTCCTTTGTTGTATCTTACGAAAGAGGACATGCATGGTGTGTTGCTGGGACATGTTGATGGACTAGTCATTGCTGGAACCCTGGTAAACTGCCGGGTTAAGAAGATTTTTGTTGATGCAGGGAGTAGTGCCGATATCATACTGTGGCACGCTTTTAAAAAGATGAACCTGGATGAGGAGGACCTCAAACCTTGGAAAACAACTTTGATAGCTTTTAATGGATAACATACACCTCCTGAAGGCTACATAGATCTCAGATTGAGCCTGGGAACTAAAGAAGCGTTCAAATCAGAACAGGTAAGATTTATAGTGGCCGACTTCCCGTCAGAATATAATATAATTCTCGGGAGACCAACTATATACCAGTGGGACATGCTGGTTTCTACGAAACATCAAAAGATAAAGATGTTGAGCAGTAAGGATGAAATAATTACTGTTTGTGGAGATCAAAAGAAGTTCAGAGGATACTATTTTGACACTGTCAAGGACAATGAAGATGGACATGCAGGAGATAAACAAGGCAAGAACGCAATCCCGCACCACTCCAAGAAGCCTGTTAATGTGGTTGAACTCGAAATGAGAGAAGAGATAATACCGAGACCCGAACCTGATAGAGAACTAAAAAATCTCACATTGGGAAAAGAACCTAGTCAATTTACCCGAATTGGAAAGACCATAGATCCCCAAGTTAAAGAAGAATTGGCCGATTTCCTCAAGAGCAACACAGATGTGTTCGCTTGGAAGTCGTCTGAGATCCCGGGCATCGATCCCGCCTTCTGCAGCCACAAGCTGGAAGTTTATCCGGGATCCTTGCCGGTTTCCCAAAAGAAAAGAAAGATGGGACCAGAAATGAAACAAGTTCTAGAAGAACATGTTAAGGAGCTTTTGGATGCCGGGTTCATTCGGGAGGTACAGTACACAACATGGCTGGCGAATGTGGTGATGGTGAAAAAACCAAATGGCAAATGGAGAGTCTGAACTGATTACACGGACTTGAACAATGCTTAGCAACTCCACCAGTGCTCTCAAAGCCAGACCCAGGAGATATTCTAATACTGTATCTGGCTGTGGGAGAGGAGGCAATAAGTGTTGTTCTGATCAAGGAAACTAACGAAGGCCAAGACCCGATTTATTTTGTCAGTAGAGCCTTACAAGGTGCAGAGATCAGGTATCAAAAGTTAGAAAATGTGGCCTTTTCTTTGCTGATCACGGCCAGGAGATTGAGGCCATATTTTCAGGGGCATCAGATAATCGTCAGGACCAATCAGCCGATACGACATGTGTTGCATAAACCGAACCTGGCAGGAAGAATGAATAATTGGGCAATTGAGCTTGGTGAGTACAATATAGCATATGAAAGTCGGAAGGCCATCAAGTCACAAGCTCTGGCTGACTTCATAATGGAGTTGACGCCATTAAACCCGGAACATGAGGAGTCTGGGGGGCATGGAAGGTCTACGTGGATGGATCCTCCAACAATAAAGGAAGTGGAGCTGGAATCATACTAGAAAGCCCAGAAGGAGTAACAATTGAACACTCCTTGAACTTGGGATTCCCAACTTCAAATAATCAAGCTGAGTATGAAGCTCTGATAGCCGGGTTGATGCAGGCTAAAGAACACGGAGCTAGAAAGGTTCAAGTCTTCAGTGACTCACAGCTGGTGACTTCGCAGATAGAAGGAAAATACCAGGCCAAATGTCCTCTGTTGATGAAGTACTTGAGTAAAGTTCAGGAAATAATGGTCGATTTTGATGAGGTGCAGGTCACTCACATCCCTCGAGGGGAGAATAGCCGAGCTGGCATCTTGTCAAAGTTGGCAAGCACCAAAAGTTTGGGTAACCACAGAACTGTGGTTCAACAAAGCATAACAATGCCGAGTTGCGTGATGGTGATAACCTTGGCACATGACTGGAGGAAACCCATAATGGATTACCTGGAAAAAGGAATATTGCCAGAAGATCGTCTGAAATCTAGAAAGCTTGTCCGAGATGCGGCACAATACACAATTGTGAATGACCAGCTATTTAGAAAGAGTTTGCACATCCCTATGCTAAAGGGTTTGAGGTCGGAAGAAGCAGCATATGTCCTAGCCGAGATCCATGAAGGAATCAACGGCCATCACATGGGAGGCAAAGCCCTGGCTAGAGAAGCCCTTAGAGCTGGTTATTACCGGTCGACAATGGAGGAAGACTCTAAAGAACACGTCAAGAAATGTGACAGCTGCCAGAAGCATGCCAGGTTAATCCTTTCACCACCTGAAGAACTGAAATGCATCTCGGCTCCATGACCCTTCTTCAAATGGGGTATGGATTTACTGGGACCCTTCAAAGCTGCTGAGGGGCAACTTAAGTGGTTGATTGTGGCTGTGGATTATTTCACTAAATGGATATAAGCAGAGCCAGTCACCAAAATCACCTCGGCTAGAGTGCAAAGGTTCTTTGAACTGAACATTGTTTCCAGATTCGGAATACCAGCCGAGGTGGTCACTGATAATGGGACACGGTTTGCTGATAAGAGATTCCAACAGTTAATGAAAGACCTGCAAGTCACACATCGCTTCGCATCTGTGGAACACCCACAATCGAATGGGCAAGCCGAAGCAACCAACAAAGTGATTGTGAACGGTCTCAAAAAATGAATGTTTGATGCTGAAGAAAGCTGGGTTCAACAACTATACTATGTCCTCTGGGGTTACAGAACAAGTACCCAAACTGTGACAGGTGAAACCTGCTTGGTCGAACCGAGAGTTGCTCGGGAATATTTCTTTCAGAGAGCAAGAGTGTAGAGTAGTAATCAGGATTGCCAACAGGAGCAATCTACTTTGACTAAGAGCAACTCTCTTTAACTATACGCAAGCGTACGTGTCAAGCAATATAGGATATTATAGCCCCAGATTTATCGTCCTCAGGGAGCCGTTGTGAAGTAAGAAGCGCTAAAGGAAACTTAATTTGTAAAATGGAGCAATAAAAAAAATCACTATTCTCAGCTAAGCTTCACAAAGAGCAATCTCTGGGCAGCTAGTTAAACAATGTTAACCATTCTGAACCAGATGAGAGCAGTGAATGACTTACCATGGTCATCGAATAAAATGGCATCAATTGAAGTAACTTTAAGAGCAGTCAACGAAATGAAAGTAAAAGCATCAGCTAGTAAAACACAGTTCAGTTATCGTGAGGAAAAGGTTGTGATAGGAATTGAGTTAAGATTAATTTCAGAAAGAAAAAGATCAAGTAGGTGTTACGGGTTCCATGTTTTCATCCCTTTGGTTAACCCTGCCTGGTAGCATATTTTACAAGTGGATTTTGCTCCTTCCCTTGTTTTGCTATAGGTAAGCAGAGGGTAAGGCCTTTCTCTCCACGTTACTCCATAGTACTTGGAGTTATATGCAAGGAAACCATGCTGCCTTCTCAAAAGAGCATGGATTCACATGGCAGTGCTCCCCATTCCAGGTGTTTATCCCTCCTTTCTTCAGGCTAAACTACCCCAGGATTTTGAGAATGCTCCACACGCCTTTGTCAGTGTTTCATCAACCGAGTGGTCCCGGGATGAGGTTGCCAGTCCAAAGGGTTTCACAAAATCAATAAATTAAACCAAAGAGCAACTCAAAATTCATTTATAAAATATGTGTTCCTTACAAAGCTATCCTAAGACAAAAGGGATTACTTCTATGGAACCCTCACCTACTTAGAGGAAGTTAGCTCCTAGTGAGCATTTTTACAAAGAAATAAGAAAATAAAGAGACAACCAGTCCTAGGATGGGTGCTGATCCTCCTCTTTATGAGGATTGCTTGTTCCTTTTATAGGGTTCTTCATTTGATCTCCATTGTTCCTTTCATCAAGGGTCGTACTTTGTCTAAATCCTCTCCAATGGTAGCTTTGCTTCTTGCCAGCTTGGCCTTAAATGGAAGTGGTCCCCCTTGCTTTTGGCTCCCTTTGTGAGTAGGAGTATCGGATTCAGGGTGGCACCTCCAAACCTTCTGCTGTAGCTGACGTGGCGGCTCCCCATTGCTCAGCTTCTTTGCTTTCGTACTGTAGCAGAGGCAGCACCTTCACCTTCTCTGCTGTAGCTGACGTGGCGGCTCCCCATTGCTCAGCTTCTTTGCTTTCGTACTGTAGCAGAGACAACACATTCACCTTCTCTGCTGTAGCTGACGTGGCGGCTCCCCATTGCTCAGCTTTTTTGCTTTCGTACTGTAGCAGACTTCTTTTTCCTTTCTGCGCAACACTCCTTCTTCTCTCTTCATTTTGTGGTTCCTTTTGATGGGCCTTAGGTGTCCTGAACAAAGCAAACTAACCCAATAGTCATATGTGAAAAAGATAATGTTAAATTTGCTTCAGGTCTACCTTAATTCCCACTTTCGGCATTGCTCTGGTCCACTATTCAAAACAGTTGCTCTATATGAAAAGAAGAAGGTTAAAGGGCGTGATTTATAACCAAAACATTGGTTTTGTGGAACAATTTGCACTTAATGGGCCTCAACTCTTGAGGACTATCAACACCCCAAAACTAGATATTACTCGTCCCGAGTAATCCTTCACAACCAACAGTCTTCTTGTGACAGGCTAATGCTCCTTGAGATTATTGATAAAGAGTTAACTTAATTCCTTCCATCGCTTCATTAGAGCACTCATCTGACTTGTGAGTTTCACCAGCTTCATTGTGTGTGTGAACTCTTTTAGTCAGTTTCCCACAGAGTTGCTTCCGGATTGATCTTTTTGGCTTGATTTTTTTTTTCTCTTACTTTCTAGCTCCTTTCTCTATTTCTTTCTTTTTAGGTCTTTTAACTGGAAGTCAATTACCCTTTTCTTTGCATAGGGCTGACCTTCAACAGTATGCTCTTTGAGCGGCTCTTGCTCTTACCTTGATGACTTGAGCTCTTTGAGCGAAATTTTTGGAGCAGAGGAGCTGACTTTTTTTTTTTTTTTTTTTTAACCAGGAGCAGAGCAATTTACTTAAACAGCCTGAAGTTCTTTCCTTGGTAACTCAAATAGTCCACTGAATAACAGAGTGTCCGATTTTTGGAGTGCTGCTTTTTGTGCATGGTGTTGCTCCAAATCAAAGTGATGCCCTATGTTGCTTTGTTAGAAACTGTAAACTCTTTAGGGCATCTCAAGGAGCAATCATTTATCTAAGAGCAAAGTCAGTAACATTTCACCACAAAACTTTCAAGCATTCATTCCAACAGATTTAAACAAGTTAAAAAGGATAGGGAACGAATGAACCTGGGGTCACCGTAGCGACCCTTAATGCTCTCCAGTTTCTTGTCTTGCTCCGCTAAACGAAGCATTTGTTATTGCTTCTGGAGGGAAGACATTTGGAAACGGTGGATATGGAGTTTGTCCCTTGAATTTTTCTCCCCAGTTACTGGCGAAGATTTGATCCCGAGCTCGGTAGTACAATCGAAGTTGAATTTCCTCCTCTTTGCTTTTCATCAATTCATCTTTCAAGAGCCCGATCTCCTCCTTCCAGTCCTTCCTGCTTTTTTCGTGGGCTTGCTCCCTCTCTTCCATTCTCTTGTTCATCATCTCTACTGCTTTCACCAGGTCTTTTACCGTGTTTTGCAAGGTTGAGGATCCCTCTCCTTCCTCAATCCTTTTTTTCTGCGGCAGTGGTCCAGCATTTTTTATCTGGTCAAGTTCATTCTGCAGGGCCACCTTTTCTTTGTTGATGAGCAAGCTGGCTTCTTTCAGAGATTGCAGCTCCCTTCCAACTGTGTCTTCTAAGGCTTGCACTTGAGTGGCTAGAAGGTCTGCTCCGAGACCAAACATAGTTTGACATTGAGTCATGTCAGTTGTCTCGACTAGGAACTGCCTTCGTCCACCCCTTGCAGGAGCTCTCTTAAAGGGAAGTTTTTCCCTTCTTGGAGTTTTCTGAGGTTCTTCCTTCACATTCCCCGAAACTTCAGCTTCCTCTTCTTCCTCCTTTCCTTCTTTTTCTTCTTTCTCTTCTTTTTCTTCTTCCTCCTCACTTTCCAATCCTTCATTGTCTCTGATTCTTTTTATCGTGGACTGATCAATGTCCGACCCTTCTGGAATGATTTCATCCGAAATCGGGATGTTGGCCTTTAAACCAGCCCTCTTGCACATTTCAGTGACCAGACAAGGGAAAAAGAAGGGGGAGTTTCTTGGTGCATTTGCCACCAGTTGTTTGTAAACAATCCTCCCAACATCAAACTTCTTCTTAGTTAAGATGCAGAAGACCAGCACTGCTCTTTCCCAGTTCACTCTAGAGTCGTTGCTCACGGGAATCAGACGGGAGTTAATAAAATGCATCCATACCTTTGCTTCGAATTTGAGTTGCTTCCTAGGGATGGATTCCTTAGTTCCCCAGGTTGCTCCCTCTGAGCCTATTTCTTGGAGCACTTCTCCAGTTACGGCCTCATCCCCTCGGCCAGCACAGTATCTATCGAACTCATCTTGTTCGGCAGGAACTGAAGCAGTGTTGTATGCTTCGTTGATTTCTTCAGGGGAGAAGTCTACTTTCACGCCTCTGATGAGGAGTTTTGGAAGATCTTCTTTCTTCATTCCCTCCAAGAATGCAGTCACGAACTCAGTGCGAGCTCTTGAGGGAGGCTCAATGAAGAGTTCCCAATCCAGTTCTGCTATATCCTCGGTCAGCCATCGGTCGAGATCTCCGTGTTTGGAGCTACTGAGGACTATGCCCCGTTCTGGTATGACTGTACGGTCGACTGTGGTTTGCTCAGGTTTGAGCTTTTTCCCTGTTCGGGTCCTCTTCTTGGAGATAGAAGCAACAGGTATAATGGCCTTTGGACGTGTCATGGTGTAATGTTCTGAGTAGGAGGGATGGAGTGGGGAGTAAAGGTTGGATTTTTGTGGGTTGAAGGAGAAAAGATTATGAGAATGAAATAGTAGTTCTGTGTTTATAAAGGAACGAAGGGGAGGATGGGAAGGTTAAAACGCTCTGTATGGTGGTGATCGTGGCTTTGCTGAGTGGCGGATATGGGGTGGAAGAGCGTCTGCTGCACATAAATGCCTGGGGGAAAGCAACTGTCCTCTGCTCTGACGGTTTCTTCTTTTTGAAACTGCTACTCTCGCTTGATTGGAGGGATGTGACAGCACGACGTGGAGCTATTATCCTTCCGTTGCTTCCGCCACTCGGTTTTCTCTCTCTTTTTCGCATGCGGCCCATTGCAGGCCCTTGGGTTAAAAGGGGCAAGTGGATCAGCCCAATTAGAACTTGGTTTCTCATTGAGGGATCAAATTCTAAGTGTTGGTTGCTCCTTGCTTTTGGGATCAGGTTGCTCAAGAGCAACCCCAAAACTAGCTTCCTGCAATGGTTAGCACATTAATTTTCTCAAACAAAGACAATAATAATAAAAAGAACGACGTGGAAATAAATCTGGGTTGTCTCCCAGTAGCGCTTCGTTTATAGTCTTAGCTCGACTTGTTGCTCCTTGAGTCAGACTTCAGCTGGGTCATCGAGATGAGAAGTTAGTTTCTCATGCTCCTTGATCCCTCTATTATACTTCTTGAGTCTGTGTCCATTTACCCTGAGCGTTGCTCCAGATGTTTCATGAGCAATGGCAAATGCTCCATTGGGAAGTGCTTCAATGATTGCATAAGGTCCCTCCCATCTTGATTTCAACTTTCCAGGAAACAGTTTCAATCTGGATCGAT